TGTCACTGCTATGAAGGCATTAACAGAATACTTTAAAACATAGAAATGATCATCTTAGAATAAGAGCTTTTGGTTTCTATCATATAAGCATAGGATGCAATTTCTTACATTGAATCACTGAACACAGGACTGCAAAATCGGTTAGATTGAGTTTTGCACATGAGCTGAGTAATATTTTTCAATTATTTAAATAATTGTTTTGACATCAAGTAGATTTAACCACTGACTTCAACTTCCTGTACTCTTGAGTTCATGCATTTAGCATCTGGGAATATTAATAACCTTTATGATAATGGCAGTGACCCCATAAAGAGATTGCCAATGTTTGGGGGATATGCCAGCCCATAATTTCAGTCATTTCTGTGCCATTGTTCTCTCTGAAAAGTTCCTCATTGCTTTTCTTTTTCTTTAGATACACAGGGACTCTTAGTGTAGCCTTCCTAAGTCTATAGCGTTTTTTCTCTTTTAGTTTATTACATTCATGGAAGAAAGATAAAGTAACCCTCCATAATTAAATCTACATTAACCAAAAAAAAAAAAATGGAATTAAGCAGAAGCAGAGAAAATGGGAGATGGGGGAAGTATCTGAACAAATGGTTGAAATTGTGGGCGATTTTCCAGCATGATTTATGCTGCTGTTAATTGCCAATTCCCAGAAGCCTCTTCCGCCTGTTCTTTAATAGGAGAGGGGATGATCTATGCTTCGACCCGGATTGAACCTGGAATGATGGATGGCATGGCGATTAAACAATTATGCTCTGTGCGTGTGAAGGAAACCTCCCTTGCCTGGCCTGAAAGCTTAGCTCCACGGTTTGTAATTCCCACAGAAGCCAGAGCCTGCACACACTGCATCTGAATGCCACAGTGTCAACTCATCTGGTCTAAAGGACGACATTTGTTGTGAAATCTTTGTCCTGGAGTTCATCGAGAATGTTTCACACCTTAATGCAAAACAAGGGAAAACATATTTGGAGGTCATTATTTAACTGTAAGGTGTTGTAATAGCATTAGTTACCTTACATAAAAGGAAAATTTCTTTTGAAAACCAAATTATAAATATGCAAGTGCATTGCGTCTTTCCCTACTGTACAGAGATAAGCACTCTTAATCTGTGCACGTGTATTCTTCCAACACATTCCATAGGTGAGGGTGTTGTTATGAGCTGAACCTTTGTGTCTTCCCGAATTCCATATGTGGAAGCCCTAAAGCCCAGTGGGAATGTCCGTGGAGGTGGGGCCTTTGGGAGGGCAAAGGTCATAAGACTGGAGCCCCACAGTGGGACTTGTATCCTCTGAAGATGAAGAGGCTAAAGATCTCTCTCTCTCTCCATGTGCACAAAGCAGTCATGTGAGAACACAGCCAAAGCAGGTCCCACCAGGAACCAAACTAGCTGGCACCCTGATCTTGGACTTAGAGCCTCCAAAACTGTGAGAAATGAAATTTCTGTTGTTCACTTATAGCAGCCTGAGCAGACTAAGACGGGTATATTTTGTTAATGTGGACCTGGTTTTCCACCCCCTTTCACTCCCATCTTTTTTATTTTGCCCAGGTGGGAAGTATTCTTAGGGAGAAAAGGGGGTGTCTAATACATGCTCCTCTTCGCAGTACAGGGGTTAGAAGCAGGGGTTCCATTCTAGTTGTCTTCAAATCTACCACTTACTTGCTGTGTGACTTTAGGTAAACTACTTAACCTCTCTGTGCCTCAGTTACCTCAACTAAAACAGTATATGTACAGTACCTACTTCAAATGGGCTGTTGTGTGGATTAAATTAGTAACTATGTATAGTATTTAGAACAACATCTGTTAAGCAGCAATCACTCTGCGAGAATTCGCTGCTATTATTCCTGTTACTGCTACAGACCCCTGGATGAAGGATCACCAGCACGGAGCTGAAACTTGAGAGGAGGTCAGTGGGCGACAGAGCAACGTGGCAGGGAGAGAGAAGAGCAACCAGAGAGAGAAGCGTATGCCAACACAGCTACCTGACCCCATTGGGGCTGAAAAGCAATATAAAAGAAGAATTGTTGTAAGCCTAGCCTGGGACAGAACCTTTTTGTATGATGTAATTCACAATCCTTCTGAAAAGAAATTAGCATTTCTGATCAAATGCTTGAGCAACTTTCCAATAAACTTTAATGGGATTAAGACTTATTCTGGGAAACCATGCTCTGCACTGTCAGTCAGGAGTCTAGCGGTCACACACCCCTGGGTGCGGGGGAAAGTTCTAGGTCCGTCTCGGTGTAATCATTAATTGTTTGCCCTGTGCTCTCAGATGTGTGCCAGTTGGGACACTAAACTCTTTGGACAAGTATTCCCTTCTTATTTATATAGTTTAACTTTTTATATGTAGTTTAACAGTGATCATCTAATCATTTTCTTTCACTTTAGATGTGTCTTCCAAAAGTAAATTTTTAGAATGCACTGAAACCTTTTTCTTTGCAGAATGATTAAAATAAAACTTTGACTCATGCTCTTAACTAAAAAACAAAAGGAATTCAATGAAGAAAAGACAGGCTTTTCAACAGTGGTGCTGAAACAAGTGACAGCCCCATGAAAAAAAAAAAGATCTTATGCCTTTCACAAAAATTAACTCAGAATGGATTATAAACCTTAAAGGTAAAATGCAAAGCCATAAAACTCCTAGAAGATAACATAGGCTGACATCTCAGTGACCTGGGGTTTGGTGATGACCTTTTAAATACTGTACCAAAGTATAGCCTATGAAAGAAAAAATTGATTAATTGGACATCATTAAAATTAAAAGTTTCTCCTCTGTGAAAGACATTGATCAGAGAATGAAATGACATGTCACCAACTGGGAGAGAATATTTGTGAAATACATGTCTGATAAAGGTTTGGCATCCAAAATATACAAAAAAATCTTAAAACTCTGTGGTAAGAAAATTAAGAAATAGGCAACAGACATGAATAGATATCTCACCAAAGAAAATATACAAATGGCAAATAAGCCTGTGAAGAGATGCTCAACATCACATGTCATTAGGGAAATGCAAATTAAAACAATGAGATACCACTAACACACCTATTAGAATGGCCAAAATCCAAAACACGAAAACACCAAATGGTGGCAAAGATGCAAAACAACAGGAAATTTCATTCATTGCTGGTAGGAATCAAAAAAGCACAGGCACATTGGAAAACAGTTTGGTACTTTCTTACAAACTAAACTTGTACACTTACTATAGGATTCAGTAAGCAGACTCGAGTATTTACCCAAAGGAGTTGAAAACATGTCCACATAAAAACTTGCACATGAATATTAATAGCAGCTTTATTCATCATTGCCAAACCTTGGAATCAACCAAGATGTCCTTCAATAGGTCAATGAATAAACAAACTGTGATACATCTATTCCAGGGAATATTATTCAGCATTAAAGAGAAATGAGCAATCCAGCATTAGAAGACATAAAGAAACACTAAATCCACATCACTAAGTGAAAGAAGTCAGTTTGAAAAAGCTACATGACATTCTGGAATCGGCAAAACTACAGAGACAGTAGCAAGATCAGTGTTTGCCAGGGGCTGGAGGGGAGGGATGAACAGACAGAGCACGGGGGATTTCTAGGACAGTGAAACTCTTCTGAATGATACTATGATGGATACATGTCATCACACATTTGTCAAAACTCATAGACTGTAAACACAAAGAGTCAGCCCTGATATAGACTGTAGATTGTAATTAATCATAATGTATTAAAGTTGGCTCATCACTTGTAACACCAGTACCCCTCTAATGCAATATGTTAATAATAGGAAATTGGCAGGAAGGGAGTGGATGGGCACTCCCTGGGCTTTCTGCTCATTTTTCTATAAACTAAAACTGTTCTAAAAAATAAAGTCTATTAATTTTAAAAGCACTGTTTTCTTTCTAACAATACTTTGTGCCTTTACACGCTTCCAGATTTTTTTGGGTAAATTAAAAATTAAATGGGCAACAATGGGATCATATTATCATGATTCTTTTGTCAACTTTATCTGTTTTGGTAACTGTATATTATGAGGATTTTTCCAAGATACTAAATACTCCACAGTATTATTCTGGCTATATTGACTTCCACTTACATGTACAATAAGTGATTATACCAATTCCCTAGTTTAGATATTTTGGTTGGTCCCAACAGCTGGTGAATAAGTGGAACTGTGATAACATTCATTTAATTATATTCTTTCAGGCATGAGTGATTTTAAGCTTCTAAAAGCAAAACTGTTTGATAAAGTCATATGCGGAGTTAAGGCTTTTCATATTTATTGCAAAATTTCCTTCCAGCAACATCCCAGTTTTCACTCCTGCCAGTCTGTTTCCTTGCCAACCTGAGTATTATCATTATGTAAAACCAGTGCTAATTCCATTGGCAAAAGACACCTCATTATTATTAGTTTCATTTGTATCTTACTACCGATGAGCTTAAATATATTCCAATATGTTTCTGGCTGCCTAGAATTTCTTCTGATTTTACTGGAAGGTATTTTTAATTAATCAACATATTAAAGTAAATGCTGGCCAGGGTCAGTTTTGTTTTTTTTAAAAATACTAGATCTCTAAATCTATAGGCCCACATATTTAAAAATGGTTAACTAATTTAAAGAATGCTTTTAAGTATTGAGAAAAAACAGATGACAGTAATTCATTTTCTTCAAAGAACTTTAGATTTATAATTTTCGATTCTGTTAGTGACTATTAACTGATATAAAAGCTAACACATATTAGGCCTCTCAATTCTAGCTGGAAATTCTTAAAATAAGCTTTTGGGGTACTGCCCATCTTGTAGAAAAGACTCAATCTACAGGAAGACAATAGAAACAAAGTAAATGCCAAAAAACCCAAAGGTCACTTCTGCATGCCAACCTCTCCATTGGCCTGTATGGTGGTGGGCTTGTGTGATTTGAATGAACTGTTTGCTATGAATTGCCTGGATTCCTTGAAGTCTTAGAACCGTCACACAGAATGCTAAATGAAAAATTTCCATTTTACTTACTTTTGAAACTGTCCATCCTGTTACCAACAGACTTACAGCCAAATTCTTAGCTTCACAAACAGAAGGCAAGGAAGTTCAACAATAAACAAGCCATCTCAATTCATCTGCGAAAGATGGGAAGTAAATGGAAGCAGGTAGCCTAGAAGCAAAGCTTTGAACTCAGCGATGGAAGCCTCAGGCCTGCCTGGTGGACCAGGACGATGGGCTGAAAATGGGGCTTTAACAGGTCTGTGTATGTAAAAGTTCACTACACACCTGCCCATATAGCACCGCCAAGCAGGCAGAGAGCATAGGCACCTACATACTCTTCCCAACACACTACCAGAAAAGACAGAAGAACAACACATAAACTAGAGGATGCTCTTTTAAAACAAAATAAATGAGCTGCCTTGCCATCGGCCAAGTAAGGACAACGACACAATTCAAAGGGCACTTATGTAACGACGCACCCGCTGCCCTCTCACTCAGGGAGCAGATCACGTCCAAATCCGTCTTTTTATCACCTTGTATTTAGAGAATAAAAGTTTACAAGACATGTGAGGAAAACCTACAACATAAAAAAGAGAGACAGACCAATATAAACGCCCTTCAGGCAACCGGATTCCTCTTTTATTCCACTTGCTATCAACTATGAGCACAATTGCAAGTTTGCAAATTCCCAATGAACAGCTGCTGTTGCCTCTAAAGATACAGAGCCAAGATGACAGTCTCAGTATGTGAAAGCTGATCATAAACTGAGTTAGCCAGCTAGAAGCTTCTATCGGTGACTGTCACAACCACAGGGCATTGGAGTCTGCTACGGATCCCCCGTACTTCACGCACTGTAACCACAGGATGGTCAAAGACCTGGGCTCACAGATAGCAGCTGCCATTCATGCTTTGAAGTTTGGGGGACAAGAAATGCTATGATTCACAACTCAGTAGGAACAAGAGAAGTTTAGCTCTACCTGTGTTCACACTTGCTCTCACTGGGAGGGAAGCTGTCACATGACAAGCCTCCTTTCCCTGCCTGCAGTCCCACGTGCTACCATTTTAATCATGGGAAGTAGATGGGGCGTGAATACTGCGGAGGATTCCTTCAGGCTCCCGGGAGAACTAAGCCACTGCCCTTCTGTGAGTAAATTCATGTCCTAGGCATTGAAAATGACGGCTGAACATTTCTATCAAAGCCCATTATTTTTGAGAGAAGCCAGGAAATGTCATTTTATTGACTCTTTCGATTCCTTTTTTTTCCCTGAGTTCAGGGACTTAGGGTGCTGCTCTATTTTGCTTTCAAAAATAGAACTTGAAGCAAGTAAGTGGAGTGCTTCCTTGACATTTTATAGAGAATCATTTCAAACAAACTCCTGTATTTGCATCTGAGTTCTGGATATTTGGGGGCTTCCGTCAGTGCTGGGTGTAGCTGTTGCTAAATTGCTTCAGCAGATTGCTGAATACTTCACTAAGTTTGGTGCAAACCTCACAATCAGGATGCTAATTTGTTTAGAGGAGGTGGACATGTAGCAATTAGAATGCATTCTCAGAGAGAAGAACTGAGAGACACAGTCTCCAGTGTCTTGATTCTAATGTTAGAAAGCAAAAAGCACCCTTTGGAAGCTTCATGCATGCTACCTAAGGCCAGAACAAATGCAGTTTGTAACTCCTTCCCTGCAACTGCTGAGAATAATATAGTAGTACAGTTATCACGTTTTAAGAAAATGAAATTGTGATGAGAAGTGGGGGGCATGAATGAGTGAGCCTAAACTTGGCTGAGTTTCAGCGGTGGCCATAGCACACTGACAGAGGACGGCCCCGACGGTGCTCTAGATGTCTGGAAACAGAATCCCTTGTGTTGTCAACGGGTTCTCATGAAAAGGTCATTGGATGCACACCAGACACTCCTTTAACACACAAGAAATCTGTCTAAGAGCAAATGTGGCCCACTGTGTATCCTTAACTCTGATCAACTCTTACCAAGTTAGAGAAGATACAGAGAGAAACCCTGCCCAAGAGTTAACATTTATAAGTGACCCCAAGTCCAATTCTTACAAAGTAAGTGCTTTTGGAGGCATTAGTACCAAGGAAGCAGTTGGTACAACATTTCATTCGTACTTCAGCTGTAACCATATTCAGTGACAATAGAAGCTTCCAAATATCAATTTCTCAGATCTTGTGTAAGTTGTAAGCAAGCATTCCAGGCATCCTGTGTGAATAGACTTTCTATGAGCAAGGCACAGGCTCGTGGTGGATGAAAGGAGAAGCTTCACACACGCTAATGTGAACTCGACCCTGACTTGTATAATAACATTGCTCTGGATTCCTAGAACTGGAATTTTAATTCTTCTTGTAAGCTCCAAGGATCTACAGGAGCAAACAATCCAATATTAGCTCTTTGACCTTTTTAATATCAAAACAGTAGTAGTCAGCCAACTAACTCAATGCACTTAAAAACTCACAAACATGAGCATTCAGAGAAGCTTCTAAACAATAACTCGTTATCAAGGACAAAAATCAGCGCTCTAAATCTTGCACTGTCGTTCCTGCAATACCAAGGAATCCACACCAACCATCTCTTGTGTTTTTATATTCTGTCAAACACTCAGTCACAAGTGTTTGTGACTTTCTAGCAAGGGAAACAAACGGCCCTAAATCCCGGCCAACACTGTTTTTCCTGTTGACATAGTTTTGCTAATTATATGACTTGTTAGATGATATAGAATTAGCTTATTATATAACTGCATCTTCCTATCACCTTCTAACAAATATACTTTCATTTTCTAGGATGAGAAATAAGCACTTGAGCTTATATGATTCGGTTCTCCTTGAATCTCCAAGGAATGGAGGTCAGATATGCACGGAAGTTCTGATTTTCACAAATAAGCTGAGGTTTTTGATAGAAGCCCCAAGGTTTCCCAAAATATCAGCATGAATTCAATAGCAGAGAGCCTCAGTTTCCTTGACATTGTCAAGAATTCTTACCATTACCCACTGAGAGTCCATCTGCTACTAACAAACTGGTAGCGATGCTTGGCATTATGAGCTTTTAGCAAAAAAATGTACTCTGTCAAAGCCTTAAGAAGTGTAGACAGAAATCTGCAAATACTACTGCCACTGTTTAAGGATAAAAATCAAATTGTTGATACTTGGGGCCCTTTGTCCCCTTTAAAGTTCAAGAGATCTATGCCCATTGATCACTGCCATTTTCCTTCCCATGAGCAAAAGCATATTTTTTGTTTTTATTTTTATCCTCATAAGCAGGTACGAGAAAAGACAGTCACAGCCCTGGAAAGCTGGCATTCTCAAAAGCTTCCACACTTCCTGTCTTGTTTGGAGCCAGCTTCAAAACCCTGGAGCTACTTCCAAGCTTTGCAAAGCACACACGGCCGCTCCTTCAAGTCTCCTTCAAAAAAAAAAACTGTTGTCAAAGTTTTGCAGCTTCTCAAAGACCCTGGCATATTTTCTTTATGCAGCAGTCCTAACTATGGTGGCCCTGTTAGGAAGCATATAGACACTGCTGCCACTCTCCAGGTTGAAAGCACACATGCAAGAGGTTGCTTGTTCAATTCTCAGGCAATCACCAAGCACGGACTATAGCCGCTTCCCAGAAGGCTACTTCTGGAAATTGAATTAGTGAGGGCAAACATGCTAGGACAGCAAAACGAAAGTATTCGCATTTATATGATTAGCTGTCAAGCAAATGGACAGCAGCTAAGACGCCAGGATTGTTGCCTGAGCCAAGAATCAACTTTCGCACAGTTCTCTCTCACTCCAGCAGCCTCAAAAATTCCACGAATGCCTGGTAGTTCCACTGTTCACAGACAGAATTATTGATATTCATAACGAATATATTAGTATGAATTGTGACACCTCCCATGAAGGTTAATGAATAGGGTGGTATCAGAGGGAAATGTGGGGAACAGCTGGCAGAGTCAGGGAGCGATCCACTGAGAGAGACAAAATACAAAGACTGGAGCCACATGACATGACTCTCAACTACAAAGGCATCACCTACTCCTTCCAAGTCCATGGCCGGGGAGCAAACGAGGGCAAGCAGGGGAGCTTCCTAACGGCAGGAGTGAGGATATTCCCCACCACGATGCCAAGCCAAGCTTCCATCCTGGCAAGAGGGGATGTTGATGGAGCTTCCAAAATCTGCCATGGACTGGGATAAAACTCAAGGGTAGAGCTTGATCAACCACTCCCCCAGCAGTTAACATTTATAAATGACCCCCCAAATTTCAAGGATTACACTCCAGGTGTTCTCCTTCCTGGACTGGTGAAAAGCCTGTGCAGTAGACTCTCGGTGAGTCTCAGTCCTGGCCACAGGGGTGCAGACAGAAGCATCCACATGTTCTGAATGCCCAGGATTCAACTGTAAGCTGCATCCCCCACCTCCCCACTAAAAGAATCTATTCACATAAAGCATTAATGACCGATGTGAACTTTACTGAAGATCTCACTGAGGAGACAGTGCAAGGACAGGTGTGACATCACATAGCCTACTCCCTAAAGTTCTCATTAAAGGCCTTTGTTGCCCCAGTCCTCGGACCCAGTTTGCATTTCCAAAGCTATCACTGGGGCCCTCCAGTTCACTGGATCCCCTCCCTTAGGGGGTAGCCAGATACCATCATTATTATGTTACCTGCTCCAGGAGGCGGCATTTAAAATCCTCACCCCTGGTAGGCTTTTTTTTCCCCTAAACAAATCCAGTACTACTGCAAACAGGAATTATGGTGAGTGAAACCACTTACACTGATAAAAGCAACCACATCATCAAAAAGCAAAGGAGAATCAGCCATGGTAGTGGAAGCATCGGCAATACAGAATCCACCTCAGACAGTCAGGGTCATGATTACGTCAGCTGAAGCACATCAGTTCCACGGGCACTAAGGTCCTAGTCAGCAACGGGGGGTACCCAGGGAACTGGAACAAGGTCCTGGAGAAAGGAGCCCTTAGACATCGGCAGAGGGTCAAGGCATAAGGTAAAAGGGATTTGCAGCAGGGATGCAGGTTCAGGAGGGAAATAGAGGCAGCAGCCCAGTCCTAAAGAACTGGAGAAGTAGGAAGTGGTGTGACTCAAAGGTGACATAGTTACCTAGAAGTCATACATAACCATAAGGTCAGTGAGCCCAAAGCTTTCACTTCTGAGAGGCTTCCTGCTCATACTCAAACTTGGGAAGTTCTAAACCAAGTGGGAGAACCTCAGTGGCTTCACCCAGGAGGGTCTGGCCCTTAAGAAGGACCAAGGGGACACTGCCAAACTGTGCATCCTGGGACAGGCGTTTCGGTTTGATGTTGCTCTTAGTAATGGAGTTTGAAGTTAACAAATTTGCATTTACATTCTTCT